TACAACGCCAACACTCATGACATGGTTGAAGGGTGTTTCGTCCGTTTTTATTTTATTTTTGAAATATTCATTTATCGGCCATTATAAATGCCGATACCGATAGATTGGAAAATGCCTAATATCGGCCGATAATATCGGCCTGCCGATAAGTCGGTCGGGCTCTAGTGTGGACCCATATAGACACCATACAGTGTTAATTTAACACTGGCACATTTGCTCATGTGTATGTCATTTCTGTTCGAACGACAGAATCCATCTTGTCACGATAGATTACGACTTGCCGACTGCCGCTACAGAATCAATCTTGTCCCGCATATAATTCTTAAAACGCGGTATGTATGGCTTAACAGTTAAAAAATTAATCCACATCGAAATACGCGTGTTTCTAACTCCTCTCCTTACTACAGGCAACTCGTGTTTACCTTAAAGTCCTAAGACTACTGCTCAGTCACATAATAAAGTCAGCGAAAGTCTGTTATACTGTATTCTGTTGGGTTTGAAAAATAAACAGCTTTCCTTTTGCTGTATTGTGAGAAAAAAATTTTTTTTATTAAAAACAACATAGTTTGTATATAACTAGAATAGTAGTTTATCTTGTAGAAATTTTAATGAATTCTCATCGGCTCCTTGGAAAAAAATGTCAAATATCATAAAAATATTGTATTATGGCCAGTACCAAAGCACAACTATTATATTTATTGGCAAACGTTTATTTAAATTAGGCAATTGTACAACTATTGCAACTTCACATTATATTATTGTCTTCACAATGTAAAGTATGAGTTCCCACCTACGCACGCACGCACACACCCACCCAGTTCACATCCGTACGTTCACCAGAAGTAAAACTTATCAGAAGGAACTAGAGTGTGTTGAACGATCTCAGTAGTCCTCCACCATTGCACTCGTTGCTGGGAATTGCTCCTGAAGATCGCCACCGCAAGCCAATCGTCGCATGAATGTCAAACCCGTTCCGATCGTCCTTCCTGTCACTCCCGCCGCTGTCGCTCCCTGTGGTGTCTTTATCTCCAGTCCTGCCCATCCCACAGCTCAATA